GGAGACGTAACACTATTTTATTAGATCTGTTGCGAGGTCAACTCATACACAAATAATAATAGTGTTAGTTAAAAATTCTTATTCCTGGTCTTTCTTTTTGGCAAAGTGATTATCATCGTATCAAAATTATAAATAACAGCTATATATATATAATCCAAATGCAACTTTCTTTCACAGTATAGAAAGTATTTGTGGTGCACCGTAAATACAGAATAAGTATGAATATGTAATACTTTCATTGAATTATTAGAATTTCAATACTGACAAATACTAAATTGTTTCGTAGTCTTATGACTAAAATGAAAACGTCAAATAACTTACTTCAAGTGCACTGCTTCCAGTCAATAAGATGTAGTACAGATACAGAAATTGTCTTTCAATATTTATTTCCATACATTTTAGTCACGTGGACTTGCAATGTATGTATCTATCCTTCTTGCAGCACCGCTTACAACATATAACGCAGCGACATGTTTATTTCCACACATCAGCAACCATCATAAAAAAAAAAAAAGACCGGCGCATAACTATTGCTAGTTAATTTAGTCTAGGTTCAGATAATACAAGGCAAGTAATCTAAACCATTATAAAACTGGCCAAACGCTGTCACAAAACCTGACATGAACGAATAATAACGGCCTTCCAAGGAGTCGTAGACACCCGGTAGCACTTGGCACACGTTAATTTCGCGCTCTGCATAAACGTTTCTATCCTGAAAACCAAATACCAGAATTACTTGCCCTTTCTGAAGATACCTTAACATATTTTGAACACAAATGAAATATATTTATGGCTGATGCATGTACTTACAATAAATACTGTTAGCTTAATACTTGTACATATTATAACGTCAGCAGTCCTTTTGTAAACTGCTTTAGGTTTATAATAATTAGTTCTTACAATTGTACCATACTCTACACAATAACTTGTACAATATTATACAGTTATCTTCACTATTATGACTTGCTTTTGTTTTAATCAATTCAACTCCACTATTCAGAAGTTATTTATACTACAGTTGCAATAAAAGTTAAACAACTTGAATCGGTATTGATACAGATATGACATGAAAATTCTTCATGTCTATCCTTTAATACACAAGTAGTTTCAAGGACAAGTTTGAGCTAATTTGTACTTTCATGGAAAAAGCTTTGAAACAATCCTAAGTTAATACCAGCATTTTTCTGCCATACTCTGTTTTACTTGCAAGACTGAAACAATCTTTATACTAACATAATTCTTTTATCTTATTCCCCATATACAGAAAAAAAAAGATTAAGTAACTGAATAACATTTTTTATAACGTTCAAGACATTCTCACTAGGGGCATGAATTAAATACAAATTTCCTTGTATATCGACACTTTCCTGCTTTGAAGTCCTCATCTTCACATAGTTCATGTTCCAAGGGCCATATTAGGCTTTCCCAAACCAAACTGCTATTTTTCCACTTATTGGAAACAAAACCTAGCATTGAGCATTACCCCCAGCAACATTTTTGCTATGTGGCGATATTTCCTCAATGTAGGAACGATACCTAATATATATATACACACACACACACACACACACACACACACACACACACCACAATTCATTGTTCAAAATTTAGCTTCTAGTTTGGTTCCTAGTTTTTTTAAGCCCAAATTGTGAAGTTAGTGGGTAGAATGCTTACTTTTATCTCCAAACACAAAAAATTAGAATACCCAAGATACTATGTCAAATTGAAGTATACATTGGAGACTCATATTCCTTTAACTTTAATTTGTGCTATTAATCATATATCAGCCCTCAAGCCAAATCATGACCTCAGACATTTTGGAAACTTCCTACACATTTCTTAAATTAGAAGTCTCTATAGGTCATTTTTCTAATGTTCTGACATATCCAAATCATTGTCACCCCAAAACTGATCCAGTCCAGCTGAAATTGCTTAATAGGTTACAGTATTTTGGCATATAACAAAGACAATTTTGATTTACAAATTAGAAACTATTGTGACAATCACAGTTGATTAGAGTTGGACAATTAATTATCTACTGCTTATAAGTATCAATTAGATCAACTCATGCAACTTAAATCAATTAATAAAAACTAGTATTTCTGCTTGTTACTCTTCCATTATTTCAACTATCCAAGTCTTGCATTAGAATAGTTATTAGTTCAATGTAAACAATTAATGAGCCCAAATATTAAAGTCACACTAACTGAAGCCAATATAAAGTTTCAGTGAATGGAACGTGTTACAACTACATTTTCCTTTTCTTTAGGGCTTTGTAGGTAGTATGATGCTACAAAAAATTCACTTCTGGAAAGGATACGAAACAACTCAAACAAAATATTCATAAACTCAGATTAAAGACGTGTTCAGATTAGGATTTTAGAATTAAGATAAACCTGGAAAACAAAGGAATTATGGATGAACTTTGAGTACCAAGACTACCTGCAACAATTCATATCCCAGCCACAGTAAATAAAGAGACATTTTAATAGGTTAGAATCCACATACAATCAGTGGCAAAAGCAGTCATAAGCCTCAGGCAACAATTAAGAATGATCTGTGTACACAAGTTTATTTGCACAGCATATCTCTACATACCTTAAGTAGCTGGAGAATGAAATTGGTATTCATGCTATTCCATACAAAGATGTACCAGTCAAGTTACCAGCCTCAACATAATTAGTAAAGTTTGCAATTACCATTAAACTATTCAGTATTTTTAGCTGTATTTATTGAGAATGTTGAGATACTACATATTAGTTTGGATCAATTTGTTAGTTGGACAAGTATCTGAAAAATTATCTTCAATGACAAGTTTATTTGATACAAGTATCAAGGCTCTGGTGTCAATAGTAAAATAATACATTTTAGGGTTATTTATTGACATATTCAATACAAAACATAGTAATTAGCTCTACACAAATCATTAGTAAGATCTCAATCTGGAATACTGTACAGTTTTAATGTCCTTATCCAAGAAAGAGCTGCTAAGATAATTCCAAGGATAAATTATTATTTATGGGGAAGAGGTTAAGATCTCCGTTTTGTCTTGAGACAAGATAAAGATTATCTTTAAGTTCACAAGAGTAGTTAGTGGGTGTGGGGGAAGAGAATAGATAGGATTATGATATAGTCCCCCAATTTCATCGTGCTGCGCGTGTATATATATATATTTACTTATTCAGAAATAAGGACAAATTTAAGATTTTGAAAAACCATTACAGACTACCAACAAAGTGACTAGCCAAAACATCGGCAATTTCTTAACAAATTATGAGTATGTTTAAGAGTCTTTTTCCGAAGAATGTGTGCACAGGATCAAATGGCCCCTTGTTAACAATATTCAGAATAGAGAAGGTATTATTAAAAATAAATAAGCTATTGAAAGTTATAATTGCAAATTCTGTCCCCTTGTTGCTGGCTCTTAAAAGTAAAATGTTTTGAACAATCCTATGGTTTTTTATCTTAAATAATATTTCACTCATACTTTTTTATAAAATTTTAAGTATTATATTGAACTTTATTTGCTTAATCATTAACGTTAATTATAATATATAATTTACAAGTGATATGTATACAGTATAGTAAATTTTACAACAGAAAAATAACTTTCCAATTGAAAAAAACTTTACTTGACCTACTCAAAATCTCTTTCCTTCTTGTTGCGTGAGGTTCGTCAGTATATACCCATTCAAAATCAGTACGTGACACGTGAGCACCCATAGTAAATACGATTGTCAAAAACTACCTTAAATTATAATACAATTTTTATGGTTCGACAAACACATCCGCTTCTCTACGACTTTACTTATCTCCAAAGCCTGTCTTCTTAATAACCACACACCTACCCTACCGTTACTTAAGTTATCAAGGTTGCAGTACTCTCGTGATCAACGTGTTGTAATTTGGGGCATTAAAACTACAAATAATTTATAACGTGTTTCATTATACATATTCGTTTTCTTATATAAAATATTTATTTTCTTAACTTATTTTACTGTCTCAGTTCAATTTCAATTTATAGTATAATGTTATTGAATTTCTGTCATTTCTTGTTACGTCATGCATAATATTGGGTATCACGTGACTCAGTTTTCACAGCCCTTCATGAGCGGCCATCAATGTACCCAACATGGCGTCGTCTGATGTTGTTACCGAGGTTGAAATACAACCAGAAATTCAAGAAGTTGAAATTGAAGCAATCCCAGTAGAAATACCCGTAGAAACTGTTGAAACGACTGTAGAAACCGTGGAAGGTCAGCCTATGATCGCACTTCAACCTTTACCTGAGCCAGGAAGGGAAGAAATAATTTTACAAACTCAAGAAGAAATTGTTGGTGGTGTAGATACCGATGCCGATACTTTAGCAGGGTACGATCAAATCCCTGTTCCAGCTTCTGATGTGTTAATTGAAAGTCCAAGCACATCTGGCAAACGTGGAAAAAAGGGAAAAAAGCTTGGAGGCCGTGGAAAAGGAAATGAACTCATGTTTGAAACGGATAGAAGTACAAGAAAATGGGAACAAAAACAGGTCCAGATTAAAACACTTGAAGGAGAATTTTCAGTCACTATGTGGGCTTCAGGTACAGATGACGGTAAGTCGAGACTTTGGTACGCTAGTTTTTTCTGCATGATCATAAATGATTAAATGTAAATGTTAATCTATTAAAAGACGTGGGGTATTGCTAAAATTTTATTTAAAGCAAATGAGTTTTATAAACTAATCTGTCATTTATTTTGAGCTTTATGCAACTGTGGTGTAACTTAGCGTTACTCGAAAGTCGAAGTTAATGAGACGAAGGTGAATAAATAACATGATTTAGAAGTTGTCATAAACAGTAGTAACTATTAGTATTATTAATAGTTAGAATAGCATCATGCTATAGACTTGTATTGTAGAGTACTACTAGGTTATACCTTGTAGATTTTTACAGACCAGATTTGAATTTGGAATACATTAAAGTTACCAGTTATACTATACTGTATACACAACACTGTTGTTGTTTGTTAGCATTACTATGTTTTTTACATTAGTCTAAGTTGTGGAAATCCCGATCGGGCTCAGTTTTAATCTCAGCATTATGCAAAATGCTAACACAGCTGAAAAGTAAAATACAGGAGCTTGTTTATTTTATTTTCTACTGTTATGTCGAAGCAACCGGCCATGAAGTATCCATGGGCGCCGCCATGATGTTCATATCTTCCCTTTCAAAATGGCTGTTGTATTATGGTGGACGGCAGCCATGTTTGTAAAGACCGATTATATGGTTGTCCACTTTCATTAGCTGTTTTAATTATGTAGAATTGCTTTTTTTGATTATAGAATTAAACTTAATACGATTAAATATTTGAGTTATCAAATATTAAATGGTTTTGGAGTGAATAACTACATTTTTGATTTTATTTTGATGTAAAATTATTATAAAGATTAGAAGGTAAGTTACAGGCATGAGTATGAATACGCTTGCGTCCTTTTTGCGTCAGCGTGTTAGAAAGTGGGACTCGTATGTCTCACTCTAGAGTCACAGATAGTAGCCGTGTTGTAAGGCCACTTGCTGTAAATTTGAAAGCCTGTAACTATACGCGCACACATAAATCTTCGTCAAAGTAACCTAATAGGCCTTTTTTTTTTTAAGATTCAAGGATATTTGTCGTAAAACTTAGGAAAAAAATTCTACGTTTCTTGGACAGTTGAAGAGAATGTTAGGCCAATACGTTTCACTTTCTACTAAATCCTAAGCTTCAGTTGGTAAAAGAAAAAATATGCTTTCTTTTGTACTGTGATTAGAAAGTTTTATAAATTTAACATAATATACTTTATCATCATGTCATATAATGGTAAACTTATAAAACTTTCTAACCATTGTGTTAGAAATCAAATATTAATTATGGCATTAAATCTAAACATTTATTCATGCACTTTTTTTTTAGACTTTGCAGGAAATTTGGACTGAATCAGCTTCATATATTTTAATTAGATTGTTTATTTGATATAATTTATGATGTTTTTTTTTGTGTGTGTGTGATAGCCTAATCTAAGAATATTGACTGCCAAACTTACCAAAGAAAACTACTGTGTTGTGTGCATTATAAAACAAAATATGCCAAGATATGTTAAATACATAAATACACATCAAAAATGAAAACAAGATTGTAAAGGATGGTTTGCACATGAATAAAAAATCTTGGCATTTAGGTATTATTCCAGGCTCTGAAAGATTTTTTTTTAGTATCGAGTCATACAAAGTATTGGAAAACAAAAGGTATAACAGATTTCATTTAACATATTTCTTTATATAGAAAGGGCTAGAATTCTTTAAATTACACCAGTATTATGGGCAGCTAAATAATCAGTATTTTCAAAATTAGTCATAGAAAAGTTGTGGATTTAATCAGCATTTCTGCTACAAAAACTACTGACAGATTAGTAATTATTTTGCTGATCACAACAGCAAATGAAATGGTCATTGTCTATCATATGTTCACTATTAATAAACAGATAAACATACACATATTTATGGAAAAAACGAATTGCGTGTGAAGAAAATCCTTTTATCTAGCAGTATCATTCTCCATTAAAAATCTGACTTGGTCAGATTGACTAGTTCCATGTTTTTAAAGCTAATGATACTGTTTACCATTATCCTGAATTTACTATGTGTGTCTTTAAAAAATTTGCCCAGTTTTTAGAAACATTAAAAGTGTTATACACAAAAAATCACATTTTAAAATAAGATTTGTCTGTGAATATACAAAGCTTTCCGTAAGTCGAGAGTGATTTTCATGCTAAGAATAAAAATACCTTTTTGATCTTACAGTCTTCATATTTCTTTGCATAACTTCCAAAATGAATATTTAAAGTTCTTTTTTTTCTGTAAAAATTTATCTTTTATTTGCTCTAACCTAACATTAACTTTAGGGAATTCATCAATGTATTATAAAGAGAAAAGTTTAAAAAATTGAAATAAATGAATAACACAGTTTTTTCTCTTGTACTGACTAATGATGATTGGAAAGTTTCAAATTACTTAACAGTTTTGACTTAACTTTTTCACATCTGTTTCATTTCAGTTTTATTGCATCAAAAGCAATAAATCTCAGCAGGAGCCCATTATCTATTTTATTTTAAAGTTAAACACTACATGATTGCTGATGGTAATGTTTTAGAGGAGTTTGTGAAGTTTTATTTTACTTAAGTTTCTAATTTTTACAACATAGTTATTTCTTTAAAAAATCTGTAACAATAAATGTATATATAAAAACAAGGACTCTTTTGAACTTGAATAGATATTTTAGACATTCTTCTGTAAGCCTCTTTGAGTCTCACAAGTCCAAAAAGATAATTCATGTAGCTTTTAAGTAGGCATTTTTGAACACAAAATATGTATTAGCAACTAGAATAGAATATGCCAAATGTACAATGGTTTATCTGGCTTCCTAAGTAAGTTATAATAGGTTATAACTATTCCTTGAGTAGCTGGAGCACCAAAATTTAATCACCACATACAAAAATATATCATTATCTAGGGATCAAGACTCAAAACAGGGAGAAGTCACTTTTCCCTCCAGGTGCTAATAGGGAGAAGCTTTTGAAAATAGGGAGACTTCACATATCTATCAGATGCATTCACAACATGAAAACACTCTTTGATAAAGGAAATGTTTGTATAGGGATTAATTATTTCCATTATGTGTGTTTGTGTATTCAATTGTGCGAGTTGAAGCATTAGATAATGGAATTGTGTTTTTTAGTTTAAAAACATTTTGTTCAGAATCTGAGAAAACATTTAATTTACCTTTTATTTTTGCAATTTATATCAACAAAATTATTGCTTTTAAAATAATAAAATACAGATCTAAATTCATTGCATTTTTCTATGTTTTTTTTATTCTTTTAACTTACAATTTGAATATTGGACATGGGTTGTGGTCGTAGCAAGATTTTAATTCTCAGTGCACATGTATTGCTTTTTCTTGCATCTTTACAATTTGAGCAGTGCCAAAATTTGTTGCTATTTTGCATATAACTAAAGTCGTTCTGATTAACCCATTCACTGTGGCTGTTACATATATGGCTTATAAATGTTTTTCTGTTCACTGCATCAACTCATCAGAGTCAGTGCTGTCTAGTAAATCCATAACATAGTTTGGATTTTCCTCAGCTTTGGTGGTGCTTGTTGCTGTGGTAGCAAGATGTCATACAGGCCTCTCTGACATCTTTTTGAGAAAATGATACATAGAAGGAAGAAATAATTGATTTTGTGTATGGTGACATATAGCAGAATGTTGATGGGCAACATTCCCACAAAAAGTTATGATCCAACACCTTACACAAGAATTTTAAAATCAAAAATCCATATGTACCAGTCTCAGTGAAAGAAAAAAAAATAGAGGACATATATGTACCAGAATGAGATGCAGTGACTGCATTTAAAGAAAGGTTATTAACTTTTTATCTAATTTTTAATCAGTCTTTTGATTCTGTCCATAAGTTGACTCAGATTTTTCCAAAGGTTTTATGCCTAACCAATTTGCTAGAGAAATTCTGACCAAAAGAATAATATTGTTATAGGCAGCAATATACAAGTTTGATTTTATTGCATCCTTGAACTTTAAAGGTATAACAAAGACAGTTTAAAATTATACTATTTTATGATATGTACCTTAATTAATTACAACAGACATGATGATGTGATTGTGCTACTCACCAACTTTGAACAAATGTTACTGTGCACCATACTGGCTGTTTGGAGATAACAAGAAGACCTGTTTTTCATATGCCTTTATTGCAGAGTTATTGAATATGCAGCGTTTAACAAGGGGCATTCAAAGGTGTAAAATTTCTGCTGTACATTTACAATCATGTGTAGTTGTAGTAATTTGGTTGCATTCTAGAATATCAAAGAAAAATTGTATTGGTGCCAAGTTCTTCATTATATCATAAATGTAACTTTGATTCTAGGGATGTCAAATTTACCTTTCATAGGGGACAAGAAAGAAGATGGCCAAGAGGCCTGTGGCAATTTTTTTGCTGTAGTTGAGCAACTGAGTAAAAAACAATCCAGTGTTGGAAAAGCTTCTCAGGAAACCAAAAAGTTTAATGACCTACTTAAGCCCTACCATTCATAACAAAATAATTGAATTACTTTTTAAATATATTGTAAATGGTATAAGCAGTGAAATAAAGGAGGCACCATTTTTCTCAATAATCATTGACACTACACAAGATGTGGTCAAAGCTGATCAGCTAAGCCTTGTAGTTAAGTACATAATAGTAATCACAAATGGAGACTGTAAAACTGGCAGGAATAAAAATATATAGTGAATCCGATTTTGGTTTCCATAGAGTATCCAGCCATGATGCAAGTGAAATGGAGGCACAAATTCTACAGTGTATAGAAGAAAGAGGCTTTAACATGTTAAAGTTATGAGACCAAGAGTATAATGGGGTGGGTAACATGGCTGGTGCTTATACAGGAGTTCAATTGTGGATACTGGAAAAATTTCAAAGTGTCAAATATGTTTGTTGTCTCTCACAGTTTGAATGTGATTTTAAATGATTTGACGTAACCAATTATAGAAATTGCAGTATATA